CTGCGGTGGCCGGGAGCGGCCACTGCACTCCAGTCTGGGTGACAGAGTGAGACTCCAACTCAAAAAAAAAAAAAAGAATTATTGTGCCAGATTTTATTCTTATTCTTAGTTTTTTTGGCATATTTAGAAGTAACTCTCGTTTGGAGGAATATTCAGTGTGCCATTGACCAAACACATATAATCAGGGCTGACCCAGTGTTTTTTTAGATTACTCAGGAGACCTGTGGCTTTGTAAAATTTTCTTTAGCTCCCTTTCCCTTTTGGTGCATTGTTAGTTTGAGAAGTACATGATAGCACAGGAAAATAGTCATATTTTCTTATTTTCTTGAAATTCTTATTCAAAGTGGGATTTTCTTTACTTTGCTTGATTTCTTTCTTCTAATCTTTCCTAATTTTGCCTGCTTTTAAAAATTTCAAAACAGTCTCTTTAGTTCAGCTTCTATTCATCATGTTTCTTCTCTGAAGTACTAAAACCTGCTGTGTTACTGATCAGAAATGCTTTTGGAACCTGTGTGTGATTTTTTTTTTCTTAAAGAAGTAAGGTTTGTTTGGAAAGCATGACTTATTTGAAAGTTTTATTATCTATTTATTTTAAAGTAAAGCCAATACCTTGTTTACATAGGGATCTGACTTTCCTTGAGTTCTTTAGTGTTTTTAAATGTTGAAAACTGTTAAAAATATCGGTGAGATGTTTTAAATGCTGTCTTGTTGCAGAACTTCAACTGTTTCACATTTCAGAAAACTTCATGGTATATCTACTCACTCACCAGACAGTTCCTTGGGTTAATGGGGAACTTGGGGAGATTTGATATGTAAGGTTAGAATGTCAAATGAGAACCCCAGAGAGCCTACCTTGACTCTAAAAAATCTCTGTTGGTGGACCTGAGTGCATTTTCTTTTTTTTTAAATTTTTTATTTTATCAATATTTTGTATTATGGTTTTGTGGGGTACAGTTAAGGGTTAGGTGTATAATTACATTTCATTCAGGTACCCTGTTGATAAGAGGTGTTTCCCCATCTCCAGACAGATATTTGCTACTGTTAATCTCATCCCCTTCCTCCCTGCATTTTCCTCTTACTTTTGCTTTGTAACTTCAATTTAAAATAGCCTCTGAGTCTGCAGGTGGTTTTCCTCTCAAAGGGTATTCTTGTGCCTGAACACCTCTTGAAGAGTTGGGCAGCAGTTGTTAGAGATTTGATCATTCAGGGTACTTTGCACAAATAGGTTTTCTATTCTTGAAATTGGTCAACCAATTGTAAAGTAGTTTTATATCTGTAAACTAGATGTTTTCCATTTGGTTAAGGAGAAACTGGCCACCCATAGCTAAATAACGGGTATGTTATTAAAGAGAGAGAAGAAGAGGACATACATGTGTGCTGGTTCTTTGACTCAGGTGTTATCCCAATGTGGCCTGAGTCCTTTCTGGAAATCAAGTAGTAACACAGAAGCAAGGCAAGCCTCAGCTATTTCTCCATTGGCTCTCTTACTCTCATTCATAACCTTCTTTTAGAGACAAGTAGTCACTGGAAGAGCTACATAAATAATAATTTTCATGGCACTTCTTTGCTGTCATGCTTTCGTTATAGCAGGCATTCAAATGTACATCAGGTGAGATTGATAGGAACAGCATATAGCTGTCCTAGCAGCTTCCCCAGAGAAGATAATGTCACACACTCTTTAAAATTAAACTCCTAATATTTTTTAAATCCTTAGATTCAGACATAGAAAAGCATAACTGAGATGTTTAATAACATAGATGCAAAATTCTTGTATCTAAACTTTTGTCACTATAGAAGTATTGGAAGATTAGAAAACCTGTGCAGGAAACCTTGGAGGTTAAAGTGAAAATTTGAAATGGTCCCTCTAAAGATGTGAGTAGACAAAGCTCTCTTTACCATCACTTACAGCTTCTCAGTTGTCACAACACCATGCTCTGTTGTCCAGCTGTAGAGAACGTTAAGCTGAGCATGCTGTGTTAACGCTAGTGTTTCTCTGATTTTGTTAAAATAGTTGTGATTGTTGTATGAGAGGTTGGCTTGGCCGTATTGGTCCAGAGTCACCTTTATTTTTTAAAATATTTTTAAGAGACAGAGTCTCAGTCTGTTGCCCAGTCTGCAGTGCAGAGTCTCAATTATAGTTCATTACAGCCTTCAACTCTTGGGCTTAAGTGATCCTTTTACCTCAGCCTCCTGAGTAGTTAGGACTATAGGTGCGCACCACCATGCCTGGCTAATTTTTTTTTTTTAATTTTGTATAGATAGGATCTCTCTATGTTTCCCAGGCTGGTCTTGAACTCCTGACCACCATGATCCGCTCGCCTTGGCCTTGCAAAGTACTGGGATTACGGGCGTGAGCTGCGGGGACTGGCTGCCATCTTTATTTTCTTAACTACATAAAAGTGGATATAAAGATCTGGTAAAAGAACTTGAGGAAGAACAACTATTTCCCCCGTTTTTCTATTAGCTTATTAAATTAGTTAACTTTCTACCTTTTTCTTCATTATGATTATAGAGAAGATAATTCTGCTTCATTTGTTGATGAAAACATTTTATGATGTTCCAGTCACTTTATTAGGTACAGGGGAGAAATAATGACAAGATCGATGAAGGTCTCTGCTTTAATGGAGCTTAATATGAAATGCAGTTTCCACACATAGGAGTTAAAAAGGAGATTCATCGAGGTTTGTCTTCTGCATTGCTACTTGGATGTTCCATACTGTCTCCAAACTATTTGTATAATTATATGTACTAAGTCTCAGGCTTTCTGGGACTGTGGACTTTTGATTTTTGTGATACTCTCTTCCATCTCAAAATTGTCACATAACACATTTTTGTTTTGTTTTTACATTTTATTTTTTAAAATAAAATGATGTTCCATGGTAGCTGGAGAATCAGTTATAATCATGTACTTGATTGTGATGCTTAACTAAGAAAGTCATAAAACACAGATTAGTCTGTCTTTTCTTCTAGGTAGATATCTATTCCCCATTAAGCCATTTTGTAACTGAAACTTAATTTTAATCTCTGTTGTATTATACTTTCAAATCCAGATTTCAGATATCCTTAGTCAGGTGGTCAAAACAGGTTGTTGGTGTTTCTCTTTCTTCTTTGTCAAGCATCAGTATCTTTGACCTTTCCAGTGTTACCTGATCTAACAGTTATGACTGTAAGAACTGTATATATCATTGATAACTCTCAGAAGGAAGGGGATTGGTTTTTCACTTCAAAGTAGATTAACACTTTAGAGTTGATGGTGGATAACTCTTCCACTTTTTTTCAAGAGACTCTGCAGATACCACATTGAACAGTAACAGGTGTGTGTGTGGACCCTAGCCATATCATTTAATGTGACCCATTGAATGTTTTACTACCTTACTCAGTTTTTCTGGAATATAGCAGCATTTTTCATTGCACAGCTAAGAGATTCAACCATCTCAACTCTCTGAGTCTTTTTTACACTAAGTCTTGATGCACCTTATTTTTTTTTTGAGTTGGAGTCTCACTCTGTCACCCAGACTGGAGTGCAGTGGCCGCTTCCTGCCACCGCAGCCTCGACCTGCTGGGCTCCGGCGATCCTTCCGCCTCAGCCTTCTGAGTAATTGGAATTACAGGCGCGCACTACCACTGCCGGCTGATTTTTTATTTATTGTAGAGATGAGATCTCGCCAAGTTGCCCAGGTGAGTCTCAAACCCGCGGGCTCAGACAATCCACTCACCTCAGCCTCCCAAAGGCGCGAGATTATAGGCTGAGCCACCGAGCCCGACACCTTATTTTTTTATAAGTTCAGAAACAGACACAATCTTGAGTTTTCATATAAACAGTCATAATCTTGTTACAGGTGTATGTGTATGTGTGCGTCTTAAAGAATAGTTGTGAATTCAGCTCTGTAACAGTAGTATTGCCAGTATATCATTCACAACCTTTCTACCAGCAGTAATTGCCCTTTATATGGTTAACTTTGGGCAGGGAGGCCTTGCTGGCAGGGTTCGTTTAAAAAGAGGGTATACCAAAACATAGTGGCTACTGCTTCAACTGCTACCCCTTTAAGACCCAAGGGCCACAGAGGGTGCTGTTCCTAATGGAGCTCAGATCTCAGTGGTAGAATTCTGGTTTCCTTTCTCCCTCTGGGTCCTTTCCAGTAGTGAGCCATGGCACTTCTAGAACAAGGATCTGAGACATCTTAAGAGTACTGGTAGGAGGTAAATTACAGGCACTCTCTGTCCTGAGAGTTCCGCTGTGTCCAGCTTTTTTTTTTTTTTAGATTAGAAAACATAGTTTATTTAAAAATTAAATGGGGGGGAGGAGCCTCACTTCCCTCAAAGAACACATAGTCACACCATAGCTTAGCAAGGCAATGGCCCTCCAGTTTTTTATAGTGATTTATTTTTATAATGAATGCTTATATTCCAGGAAGGATATAGAAAAATTTCTTTCCACAGTTGAAAAGGAATGTATCAGTTGCTGCATATTGAAGAGACTTCACAGGAAAGATTACATCTAGTCACTGTGTGGCTACCTATATTATTCGACTGATCAGGTCTCGTCAGCACGTAGATTTCTCATTTTGAATTAGTTTATATGAAAATAGGTGTACTGGAGTAGTACTAAATAAGGTCTTTGAAACTTCCAAAGGAGGAAAAACATTTCCACCAAAGCCATTCCCATCCTTTCTACAAGTACTTTCACTCCTGGGATACAATTCATTGCTATTGTTATCAGTGGAGATCAATCCATTATTGAGCTTTTCACCACCACTGTTTGAACCAGAGATCAAAACTTTCACTTGACTCCTCTGACTTGTTTTGCACATAGACTCTTGAGCTCTTGAGTATTTTATAGAAGAAACATCATACATAAGGCAAAAAGCAAATTTTAAAATTAAAGTAATACCATAGAAATTATACCTTGTGCGTTTTATCTCTTGTCAATGTGGAAAAAACTGGCAATAATCAGGCATATTGTGAAAAATGTACATTTGTATATTTTTAGTAAGAAAGCAGTCACCCAAAGATGTGGGTCTGTGCTTCATCTCCATGGCTCTTCAGGGACATAATTCTTAGATTCTACAGATTCAGTGTGATGTGTGGCCTTCCCTAGAGTCACCTGAAATGCACATTGTCTTGAGAAACAACCTTGCTTTTGTTGTATGTGCATTCTCAATTACTGGCCAGAGGTGGTTGATTCTGATAGTTTCTTCTGATCAGATGTGTGAGACATAGGCTCAGGGATATGAGGGTAGGTTTATGTATGTATGTGAGACAAAGAAAGAGGCCTCTTCTACAGTTTCATAATAAACTGCACCCAGCATAGGACCACTGATTGCCTAACATTTTTTTCTTTTGCTTGAACTCAGGGGCAGAGGCCTGGCCTCCAGGGGTTTGTCTTAAATATGTCGGGGGAGACCAATTTGGACATGTGAACATGGTGATGGTGAGATCGCTAGAGCCCCAAGAGATTGCAGATGTCAGCGTCCAGATGTGCAGCCCCAGCAGAGCAGGAATGTATCAGGGACAGTGGCGGATGTGCACTGCTACAGGACTCTACTATGGAGGTAAGTATGTCCTTGTACAGCCCAGGGTGAAGGAATTAAGGTAACATCTTTTTTATTTTTAATTGTAAAATATAATTTATTTAGAAAGTCGACTAGAGAGAGAGAGAGAGAGGAAACTCACCTTCCCCAAATAGGGGAGGGGGCCAAAGCTTACGGAAACAAAAGCATGTTCTAAGGTAACATCTTACAACATTCCCAGTGTTGATCACAAAGCTTGTTGAATTTCATGACAGGGGATGGCCTCTTAAATAGTCACCCTATGCAGGTAAATGATTTGAATTTAGTAACTAATTGGTTCCATCTAGTGTTCTTTCTTTTATTCTAGGAATTTAAGTAAAATTTAGTGACCTGTATAAGGTATATTATATTTTGCATTTTACATAATGATTTAGAAGTGCTGCTGTGTTTATTATATAGTATGGTAGGTGCTGTAAAAATATTAAAGACAGTCCTTGTTCTCAGGGTCTCTAGACACATTAAAATAAACAAACTGGATAATGCATAAAATGTGCATACTTCTTCCAACCTGACTGCTTGTTAAACTAACATATCTCACTCTTTCCCTTTATTGCCATCCTTTCTGAACAATGATCATTACTCACTATCTCTTCTTCCACGTTTTCTATTTACTCTTTAACCCAGTCTGTCCTTTATTCACTCTAGTGAAAGTTTCTCAGTGACTACCCAGTTTCCGAATCCAGTAGCCTTTTTATAGTCTTCTTACTAGCCGACCTTCTAATCATCATTTGACACCATACTCAAATGTTTTTTTGAAATATTTCCCTTCTTAGCCTCATATGAGACTTCTATTTCTTCTCTCTGAATGTTCTTTCTCTGTCTCTGTCTAGTCTCATCTTTGCCCTGGGATTCCTGGACTCTGAACTGGGCCCCGTTCATGTTTGCTGACTTCTTCTACCCATGTGGCTTCAGCTGTCACTGGTGTATCATACATGGTGATGCTCAAATTCATATGTATGGCTGTGGCCTCTTCAGAGCTCCAGACTTATGTTTTAACTCCTTATGGGCAGAACACCGGATGTGCTATACGTTTCTGGATTTTAACATCTTCCAGACAAAACTTATATTATTCTCACTGATACTCCACTGAGATGATCAGACCAGAAACCTTGGAATCATCATTTGTTCTGTCTTCCTTAATCACAAACCAATTCCTATTGAATTCCACTATATCCCATGCTCTGGAGCTCCAAAGACAAATAAATAGCAAGCTCTTTACTGGATTCAGGGAGTACAGGCCAGTGGGACCTTTGGAGTTGTTTCCAGGGGTCTTAGAATTAATGTTCTCATATATGTTTTTGGAGCCAGTGGAAACTTTAAAAATTTTAACATTAAAAAGAGTGTCTTATAGTGCTTGTGTGACATCATACTTTGCCTATAACATTTGCGCTAACTGTAATGAAGCTAACTGTAATAAAGCTCACGATCTGACTTGGCCTCATTTTCCCTTTCATCTTCAGTGACCTCTTCACTCCCCTACAGTCAGTCCCCAAAGATGCCACATGCTTTTACTTCTCCATTTCCTTGCTCATATTCTTCCCACTTCCTGAAATACCTTTTCCCAGGAAACTCCTGCTCAACCTTAAGGCCCTAATTAAGTCACCTTTCTCCTCTTTCCTACTTGACCTACTACCCTAAGGAAATTCATCCCTCCCTTTTTCATTAATATCAGGCACATGCTTGTTATTTTACTTAACATGTTGTTTTCTAGGTATTTGTTTTACTTATCCTTTTCTCCTACTAAATTGTGAGCCATTTGTTGAATAATAATTAAACAGGTAATCATATATCAAAATGCAGAGAGAAGGCGAGGCGAGTGGATTGCCTGAGCTTGCGGGTTCGAGTCCAGCCCCAGCAACTTGGTGAGACCTCGTCTCTGCAATAAATCAAAAATTAGCTGTGTGTGGTAACGCATACCTGTAGTTCCGGCTACTTGGAAGACTGAGGTGGAAAGATCGCTGGAGCCCAGCAGGTTGACACTGGGGTAGCTGTGAGCATACATGCCACTGCACTGCAGCCTGGGCGACAAGCGTGACTCCAACTCAAAAACAAAAACACGAAAAACCGCTGGGAGATTATTTGTCCTTTCCCTGTAGGTATCCCATTTTCAGGTGAACGCTGCTGAGAATCTTGTCACCTGCTGGAAATCATTTCTCCCACCGTTGAACTCTGTTGCGTTAGTTAACGCTTCATTTCTCCTTTACTTCTCTTGACATTTTACTTCTCTCTACCCAGATAATTTGATAAATGTCTCATACCACCTATAAAACTTAAAATTGATGCATGTTTCACTTATCTTTGTAACTCTTCAAAAGCTCGGCCCAGTGCAGAGTAAAGAATAGCTACTCACTACATTTGTAAAAATAATTAATTTTTTGTTGGGTTCGGTGGCTCAGCCTGTGATCCCGCGCCTTTGGGAGCCTGAGGTGAGTGGATTGCCTGAGCCTGCGGGTTCGAGACCCACCTGGGCAACTTGACAAGACCTCATCTCTACAATAAATCAAAATGAGCCGGGCGTGGTAGTGCGCGCCTATAGTTCCAGCTACTTGGAAGACTGAGGCGGAAGGATCGCCGGAGCTCAGCAGGTCGAGGCTGTGGTGGCTGGGAGCGGCCACTGCACTCCAGTCTGGGTGATAGAGTGAGACTCCAACTCAAAAAAAAAAAATTAATTTAAAATTTTTTTTTTTTTATTTTTATAGATACAAAGTCTTGATATGTTGCCTAGGCTAGTCTCAAACTTATGGGGTCAGGCAATTCTCCCACCTTGGCCTCCCAGAGTGCTGGAATTACAGATATGAGCCACCATGCCTGGCCCTTTTTTACACTATTAACTGAAGAAAAATGAGTGTGCTTTAAGAATTTTTTAAGAGCCTGTAATCCCGCGCCTTTGGGAGGCTGAGATGTGAATTGCCTGAGCCCGCGGGTTCGAGACCTGCTTGGGCAGGCGAGACGTCATCTCTACGATAAATCAAAAAATCAGCCGGGCGTGGTAGTGCATGCCTGTAATTCCGGCTACTTGGAAGGCT